CCATGAAGAACACCTTGAGGCAGTATACCAAATTCTGAGATACTTAAAAAGTACTCTAGGGAAAGGACTTTTCTTCAAGAAGAATGAGCAAATGACGATTGAAGCATACACAGATGCAGATTGGGCAAGCTCAGTTACAGACAGAAGATCTACATCAGGGTACTGTACTTATGTATGGAGAAATCTAGTCACTTGGAGAAGCAAGAAACAAAACGTGGTAGCACGAAGTAGCGCAAAGGCTGAGTACCGGGCAATGGCTCAAGGAATATGTGAGATGTTGTGGTTAAAAAAGATCCTTGAAGAATTAAATCGACCAATGGAGATGCCTATGAAACTATACTGTGACAACAAGGCTGCGATTAGTATTGCCCAAAACCCGGTGCAGCATGATAGAACAAAACACGTTGAGATCGACAGACACTTCATAAAAGAGAAGATAGAAGTAAGAGCTATTTGTATGCCGTTTGTTCCAACATCACAACAAATAGCTGATATTCTTACTAAGGGGTTGTTCAGAACCAACTATGAATTTCTTATTGTTGAAAATCAGCCTATCTATGGTATCCCTGATATCCGAGAGATTTGAGAGCAGTTAAGGGTTGATTTAGTCAACCCTATCTCTTGAAGAATAAAATCGGGACCTTATTATTCTGAGTTATTAGTTTCCTGATTTGTTGCTGATTTGTTTGATTTGTTTCCTAGTTTGTTGAGATAGTCTCTGACCAGAATATGACTATAAGTTCGAGGTCTTTTCTTGTATTCATACACAGACTTTTCTAATAAAACTTCCTGAGCAGTGTTTTATGGTTTTCTTCTCCGGTATCTTTTCTCACATGGTATTAGAGCTGGGATACCGTTGAGAGGAAAACGACATGGCCAATAGCTTTAAGCAGGCCCTCACTGGGTTAAGCAAGGACGAAAAGGAGGGAGCTTCTACTGAATCTTCCTTTGTACCGAGCCTTACAATTAACCCCACTGCTTCTTTTGATAACTCCTCTCTGAACTCCTCCCTTCTAATCACTCCCTACAAACTAAATGGAAAAAACTTCCTTTAATGGTCAAGGTCTGTCTAGATGGTTATACGAGGAAGAGGAAAAATTGGGTTTCTTGATGGCTTCACAAAGAAACCAGACCCAACTGACCCTGCATACACATCGTGGGACACCCAAAATGCCTTGGTGATGTCCTGGCTCATCAACTCTATGGAAAAACACATTGGGTCATTATACCTTGTTCAATCCACGGCCAAAGTCATTTGGGATAAGGTGAAATTTGCCTATTCCGATCTGGAGAATCCTGCACAGTTGTGTGAATTAAGAGACCAAGCTAGGGATCTCAAACAAGGAAGTATGAGTGTCACAGAGTATTACACTACCCTTACCAAGCTATGACAGGAACTGGATTTGTTTGAGCCCAATGATTGGTGTGGTGAGTGTTTAGAAAAATATGTGAAACTTGTAGAAAAAAGCCCATACCTATGATTTCCTTGCAGGCCTGAATAAGGATCTGGATGAGGTTCGTGGTAGAATGATTGGAATCCGACCTCTACCTTAGATTGAAGAAGTCTTTGCTGAGGTCCGAAGGGAGGAGAGTAGGCGCAAGATTATGCTCGGTGATCCTAGAGGTACTGCCCAAACAGAGGCTTCTGCACTGGTCTCCGAAAGCTATGAACAAAACAGAAAACCAGACTTCTCTAATGAACCACGGCGTGCTAAAAAGGGGAATCCTTGGTGTGATTATTGTCAAAGAGCCAATCACACTAAAGAAACTTGCTGGAAATTACATGGGAAACCTCCTAATCAGCACAACCGTGAACATCAAAGGCAACCTGGATAGTTTCAAAAAGAAACCCGTGCCTACCAATCCAATGCTGAACGGGTTGAACAAAAATCTGGTGAGAATTTGGGCAGCATCAACCTCAGTAAGGAGCAACTTGAGCGTCTTTACAAGTTACTCACTCCAGAAAAAGTAACTGGTACTTCTTTAATTGCCCAGCAAGGTAATTTTCTTTCAGTCCTAAATTGCACAAAGGAAGAAAAAAATTCCTGAATTATTGACTCCGGAACCTCAGATCATATGACAGGTTGCGCTCAATTATTTTGCTCATATACTCCAAATTATGGTCACACTAAAGTGAGAATTGCAGATGGAAACCTTGTCTCCGATTGCTGGAATTGGAACTATTAAGATTAACTCTCTTGTTCTTAAGTCTGTAACATGTTCCAAATTTATCCTGTAATCTACTGGCAGTGAGCAAAATTTCTAAGGATTGTAATTGTAGAGTGATCTTCTCACAGAATCATTGTGAATTTCAGGACCAGGGTTCGGAGAAGAAGATTGGCAATGCTAGTGAGCATGAGGGACTATATTACTTTGACGAGGGCACCGACGAGATCAAACAAGTTCATACTGTTAGTTGGGAACCTTCTTCAAGGCAAAATCAAGTAATGCTGTGGCATTTTAGGTTAGAGCATCCTAGTTTCGCGTATTTAAAACACTTGTTTCCTTCCTTGTTTAAGAATAATGACGTTTTTCGATGTGAAATATGTCAGTTGGCTAAACATCAAAGATCTGTGTTTAAACCAAAACCTTATAAAGCAACTAGAGCTTTTGCCATGATTCATAGTGATATTTGGGGACCCTCACGGTCTCACAATATTTATTCAAAGCGTTGGTTTATATCCTTTATCGATGATCATACTCGTGTGTGTTGGTTGTACTTACTCAAAGATAAATCTGATGCTGAGCAAACGTTCATAAATTTTCACAACATGGTTAAAACTCAATACTCCACAAATATCCAAATCTTACACACTGATAATGGTAAAGAGTACTTTAACCAGATTTTAGGAGGATATCTTAATACAAATGGGATTATTCATCAAAGTTTTTGCACCAATACACCCTAGCAAAATGGCATAGCTGAAAGAAAAAACAAACACCTTTTGGAAGTTGCTAGGTCCATCATGTTTACAACCAATACTCAACAATTTTGGGGGGATGTTGTTCTCACTGCTTGCTACCTTATAAACAGAATGCCCACAAATGTTCTTCAGTTTCAAACTCCACTAAACGTCCTCTCCAAACTTTTTCCTGAAAATCTAACCTTTAGTAATCTTCCCCTAGAAGTGTTCGGCTGTACTGTGTTTGCTCATAATCATGAACCCAATCGGAACAAACTTGATCCAAAGGCTCTCAAATGCATTTTTCTTGGATATGCTGCAAACCAAAAGGGGTACAAATGTTATTTTCCAGAAAAGAAAAAACTCATTGTAACCATGGACCTCACCTTTTTTGAAAATACTCCTTTCTATTCCACAAATTCCCTTCAGGGGGAGACAAACAGTGAAGGAAATTTCTGACCTTTTTATTCTGAAATCCTCAATTCTACCACCTCTGAAATCCCCAATTCTTTCACTTCACCGAACGTGCCTCTTAGAACCTAATCCCTCACACTCTGAGAATCTCAATTTACCAAGAGTTGACTCTGAGAATCTCAATTTACCAAGAGTTGAAAATTTTGATGTGGTCGATGAAAGCAATAAACAAGGAGGGAATCTTGATGTGGAAAATTATCAAGAAGAAAACAAGGTGCCTGATCTAGACGTCCAGCAACAGAAATCCCATCCAAATACAGAACTTCGTGTTTACTCTCGTCGGAAGAATCAACAAGTCCCTCTTACTCTCGAGGATTGTCATGAATCCAACCCCGACTCAGGTAATTTTCTTGCCCTTCCTCCTATGGTTAATATTGATGATCAACCTATTGCTTTAAGAAAAGGTGTCCGTTCCTGTATTCAACATTCTATAGCTCAGTTTGTACAGTATGACCATTTGTCCTCTTCTATGAAAGCATTAGTTTCCAGTCTTGAAGACACGGAAATTCTAAGAAATATTGAAGAAGCCTTTCAACGAACTGAGTGGAAAAGGGCAATGGAGGAAGAAATGCAAGCTCTAGAGAAGAATGGGACTTGGGAAGTAGTTAAAAAACCCAGAGATGTTGTACCTGTAGGCTGTAAATGGGTATTCACAGTGAAGTATAAATCTGACGGGTCCATTGAAAGGCACAAAGCGCGTTTGGTTGCTAAGGGGTTTACTCAGACCTACGGGATAGATTACCAGGAGACTTTTGCCCCCGTTGCCAAACTCAATACCATCCGGGTCCTTCTCTCTCTTGCAGCAAATCTAGATTGGTCACTCCACCAACTTGACATCAAGAACGCATTTCTCAATGGTGACTAGACTGAAGAAGTTTATATGGAACTTCCTCCAGGTTTCAAGAGTGTTGGACAAACAGGGCAGGTGTGTAAGTTGAAAAAATCCCTCTATGGACTGAAACAATCACCTAGAGCGTAGTTTGAAAGGTTCACGAAAGTAGTCTGCCAACAAGGGTATAAGCAAGCTCACACTGATCACACGCTATTCTATAAACATGAAGGTGGTAAGTCAACTATACTTATTGTATATGTTGATGACATTATCTTGATAGGTGATAATGTTCCAGAAATGGGTTATTTAAAGAAGAAGCTTGCAGATGAATTTGAGATCAAAGATCTGGGTACGCTAAGGTACTTTCTGGGTATGGAGATTGCTCGAAATAGATCAGGTAGCTTTGTTTCTCAAAGAAAATATGTCCTAGATCTTTTAAGGGAGACTGGGTTACTTGGATGCAAACCTGTTGATACCCCAGCCGATCCAAATGTTAAACTTGGAGATCAAAATACAAGAACACCAGTGGACAAGGGTAGATATCAGCGGCTCGTTGGAAAGCTTATTTATTTAGCTCATACAAGACCAGACATAGCTTTCGCTGTTAGCATGGTAAGCCAGTTTATGCATGCTCCATATGAGGAACACCTAAACGCAGTCATCCGGATATTGAAGTATCTAAAAGGAAGCCCAGGAAGAGGATTGTTCTTTAAGAAGGGAGAATCTCGTGAAATTAAAGCCTATACTGACGCTGATTGGGCTGGCTCAGTGGCAGATAGGAGATCTACATCCACTTACTGTTCTTATGTTTGAGGAAACTTGGTGACATGGAGGAGCAAAAAGCGGAATGTTGTGGCTAGAAGTAGCGCAGAGGCTGAACTTCGGTCCTTAGCAAATGGAGTTAGTGAATTGATTTGGCTAAGGCTACTCCTTGAAGAACTTCAAGTTGCAATAGAAAGTCTTACGAGATTGTATTGCGACAACAAAGCTGCCATCAGCATAGCTCATAATCTTGTGCATCATGATCGTACTAAACATGTAGAGGTTGATCGACACTTTATCAAAGAGAAGATTGAAGATGGGACTCTTTGCATTCCTCATGTTGCTTCAGCCGAGCAGACAGTAGACATTCTAACTAAAGGATTGCCAAGACCTCTTTTTGAGAAGATGATTTACAAGCTGGGATTGTTTGATGTATACAATCCAGCTTGAGAGGGAGTGTTGAAAATCAGCCTATCTATGGTATCCCTGATATTCGGGAGATTTGGGAGCAGTTAAGGGTTGATTTAGTCAGCCCTATCTCTTAGAAAATAAAATCGGGACCTTATTATTCTGAGTTATTAGTTTCCTGATTCGTTGCTGATTTGTTTGATTTGTTTCCTAGTTTGTTGAGATAGTCTCTGACCAGAATATGACTATAAGTTCTAGGTCTTTTCTTGTATTCATACACAGACTTTTCTAATAAAACTTCCTGAGCAGTGTTTTATGATTTTCTTCTCCGGTATCTTTTCTCACACTTATTACCAAGCTGGGCATGATAGATATCTATACACCAACTTGAGGGGGAGTGTCGAATTAGAGAATTTAAATTAGGATAACTTCCGGTTATTATTATCCAGTTAGGATTATTTGTTTTTTTAAATAAGGAGATAAGGAGATATCCTAAATCTCTATATTAGCTAGTCTTTATCTCTTAAGTTAGGATTTATCTATTACTAGAATTATGGGATTCAATGGCAAGAGTGTTGTCATGCTTACCTATAAATACTAGTAGTCTTTTATCAAACATATAATAAGAAAAAATATTTTTTTCCTCTCTAAAAATCTACACTAATATTAAGATAGTTAGCATAATATACATTTTTTTTTTTTTTTTAAGTTCAACACACAAAAATCTATTAAAATGGTAGGTAAGTAAATTTATAACATTTTATTCCGATTCTGGGTGTAAGTAAACGTATGAATGAGATTGTGACTGATTCCGACTCCGATTCCTAGAACCAGGAGTGGGGAATGGGAATTGGGAATCAGAATCAACCCCATGTTTACTTACCCATTTTTATCTTGGAATGAGAGTGGGAATGTGTGGATCCCACACGAATTTGGGGTTGAGGAATGGGATTGGCACTCTCCCCACCCCCCACCGGATTGGCACTCCCAATCCTAATAGTAAATGTGAATTACGATTTTACCCTTAATTTTACTAACAAATTTGTGAATAGAAAAGTAAAAAGTAAAAAAATTGAAAATGTCATAATTTACTTTCACGCCTTTCGTATCTTCTTGCTCACTTCCTCTGATATTTTCTTCTCCTCAAAACATAGCATTGCATCCACAGCAACCAAGAGCATCTCTCTTCTCTTCAAGAGTCAATAACATAAATCACTATGGTTCTTTTTTATTGAATCGCAAGTTTATTTATTTTATTTTTTTGTTTATTTTTTTGTGTTTATTTGTTGAATCTGTGATCAAACAATATTTTGCCCATTGATTGCACAACATCATTTCAAGGATTCGTGGAGATCCATACCATTCCCAAAGGGCAAGTTATTTCAAATTTTATTGAGAAAAAACAAATTAAATGATTAATTAGGTGTGATTAAAAAAATATAATTACTAATTAGTTATCCTAATATTAAGATAGTTAGCATAACATACAATTTCTTTTTTTTTTTTTTAATGTTCAACACGCAAAAATTTATTAAAAGGGTAGGTAAGTAAATTTATAACAGTTTATTCCGATGCTGGATGTAAGTAAACGCATGAATGAGATTGGGACTGATTCCGACTCCGATTTCTGAAACCTAAGTAAACAATTTATTCTGACTCCGATTCCTGTCCACTCCGAATCCTGTCTACTCCGATTACGGATAAGTAAACATGCCATAAAGAGTCTATTTATCAAACCATAAAAGAAGGTAAGAGAAAGGTAATAAGATTGAAAAGGAAAAGAAAGTAGTAAGAATGAGGTTGATTCATTAACTTTCTAATGTTTATTAAACTTCTGAATAGTAATTTACTAAAATGTTTATAACTAAATAACAATTAGCTTATGACATGTGAGCTTATCAAACATGTATAAGTAAACTTAGTATTCATTCCCTTGTTAGGATCAATACCAAAGGGGTGCAATAATTAGTATTCCTATTCTTCAATCCCTATATTGTGTGGGACCTGCCAAATTACCGCTCCTAATTTTACAAGTAAACACATGATTGAAAGGGAAAGGGAATTATTCCTCCTATTCCCTTACCCAAACACACCCTAAGGGTCGTTCAGTAGTCAATAGTGATAAAGGGTCTACTCATATAGTGTTATTGATATCAAAGGTCCACAGGTCAATGATTAGCAACGAGCAATAAAATAATCCCCATCTAACCATCCACCTCTTTGTTTCAACTACCAATCAACTTATTTCAAATAGAGAATATTAAATCCTGATTCTAATCAGTGATCATTTGCGAACAACTAAACTCTTCCTAACTCACAAGAAAATTGGAATAGCATAATGCGAGTTCAAATGAGATATTTTCTTATCATCACTTGTTATAGACTGAGTAGAAAACACATATAAATAAAGACGCACGATCTTATTATCAGTGCGGGCAAAAAAGAAAGAAGAATTGACAATATGGTATGAGAAGATGATGCAGATGCATTAAGGTGTCGTTTGTTTCAAAGTTCGAACCACAATTAACCTTTTTAGCTTTTGCTATGGTGTTTTTTTTTTTTAAACCAAAATTTGAATTTTTGTTCAAACTTTCTGTTTAAACCTATGAACTAAAGAGGCCATAAGTCAATAATGTAACTGAACAGTAGCAACTTACTTAATGGGCAATCATCTCCAGGGAGTTTACAATCAGGACAACAACCATCAAAAGCCATTCTACAAATTCCACAAGTTTCATCCTGTGCATCCCAAGTCCAAGAAGCAACAGCATGCCATCTATGATCCAAAAAAAAATAAAAAAATAAAAGGAAAAAGAAAAAAAAAGAAAGGTTCTCAATCAAGTGAAGCACAACATAGAGCAGAAACACGCCAACATTTTATTTCAAAGCGGAAACAGCTCTAGATATGGCTTGTGTGAGTGAAATGAAAGGGGAAAAAAAAAAGAACAAGCTAGTATAGTTTTAAGAGAAATAAATTATCCAGGCCATGGATTCAATAGTAATTCTTCCGAGTTCGAATGGTTCTAGCATGAATGTAACATGACAAGCCATTAGATAGACGAGAGAACAAAAGTGAAGAGACATACTCTGTTTGACACCGCAGCAGATATTTGCAAAGAGCACTGAGTCAAGAGAAAACTGATTTGTAGCAGCTGAGATTGAACATGCAACAAATACTTTTCATGGGGATACAAAAAATTAACTAAGGTCCAACTAAAGGAAAACAACGAAATAACTGATGATTAATGCAAAAGATCCAGCAACCGAACCAATCTACTGAAGGGTAATTGAAATAAGTAGGAGAAAAAGGAATTTTCCCTTTCCCAAATTGCTGTCAAGGGTAAACAGGCATGTCCATTTATCTTTCTACGATTAAGAAAGCAAACATAGAAACAGAGAAACCCAAAAGTCCCTCAGTTATCGATTTTTGTAAAGCGACTTCACAATGTGACATCATGAACTCTAAGAGATTCAAAGATTGCTATCTTGTAGGCAGGAAGAGGAGGGCTAATACATATTTGACAGTAGAGATTTTTATTTCAATAAACAGACTTATGGCAATCAGGATACGCAAGATCTTGACTTTCATCCTGATCTTATCCAACTCCGGGGTCCAATATTCAGGGGATAAAACCGTGACGCACCTATGTACCGGAAAAAGGTAAGAATCAGTTAGATTATTGACATATATTAAGAGCTGCATTCTTAGCAATCTGCTAGACCAAATGCAATGACATTGAGACAGCCTTTACATTGCCTAGGCAGTCGACGTACAGAGTAAAAAAGGATTCTTCAACACGAACATTTGTCCGCATATTTAAACACTGAACTCTTATATTTCACATTACAACAATTAACGGTGATCAAGTAAGCATGTTATCATTCAGTAATTTATAAAGTGAGCTAAATATCTGAGTCAGTTCCTCTACAACAAGCTAAAAGGGACAACCCAAAAGGAACTTAAAACAAAGAAACCACAGAGTCAATCACTGAGGCCTTTAACCAAACGCCTAATGTGCAATTACTTTACCACGCAGTTCAAAGCCAAACAAAAGATTTTCACCAAGTAACTACACATTCAAATCCCAGATTACTAATGCGCCGCAAGATTGCCGAAAAAGGGAAAACAACTTTCCGACATTAAAGCTCAGAATCTTCCAAAATATACAGCGCAAAACAACAACAAATACAACATTTTTTTCTTCTAATTTGAAAATGGTTGACAAAAGAAAAAAACAATGGATTGATTTCGGAGAAACGGAAGAGCAGCGATCTGGGTTTTCGGAGTTTTATTTTATTTTTCTTTAAAATCCTTTGAAGTGAATGGAATTAACCATTTTTCGGAGTTTTATTTTATTTTTCTTTAAAATCCTTTGAAGTGAATGGAATTGCCCATTTTTCGGAGTTTTATTTTATATTTCTTTAAAATCCTTTTTATTTTATTTTTCTTTAAAATCCTTTGAAGTGAATGGAATTAACCATTTTTCGGAGTTTTATTTTATTTTTCTTTAAAATCCTTTGAAGTGAATGGATTTGCCCATTTGGTGCCACAAGATTACGGAGGAAAAGAAAACAACTCTCCGACATTTATACAAAAACATACCTTTGATGTTTGATGACTTGAACTAAATTGACAGTGCCTTCAAAAAAAAAAAATTGACAGCGAAAATAATCGATTTTGCTGCGAAGAAGGCTGTGGATACGGCGTTTGAGCTTCGGTAGTAAACTTCCAATGGCGAGAGCTTGATCAAGATTCAGGTGTCAAAAAGGATGAAGACGATGGATTGTCGTTTATTTGTATATTGTGTCGTGTCGTTTAGGAAATTTGTAGTTTTATTCAACGACGTCGTCTTACTTGTGAAAAAAATAACTGATTATTTTTTCAAAATATGTATAATAAGCAGGGACGGAGCTACAAGCATTTATTAGTGGGAATGTAAAACAACATTAAGAATAAAATTATAAGATTAATTTTTTATGTTTAGTGGGGGATATATGCATATTGATATAATAAATTATATGATTATATTATGTTTTTTTAGGAAAAAATAAGTTGAGTGAGGTTCAAGCCCCCACTAAATCTCATCTCCCTCCGTGCATGATAATAAGTGCAAAATGTTACGATTTTCAACGAATTTAACAATAGTGAATAAAATATTTTCAAATAATGTAACTATTTTCGTGAACTTTCAAGTTATCACAAGATTTGTTAAATTATAGAAATAAAATACTACAAAAACATTGCGGAAATGTCTAGCCATAAGAGTAGGTGCGCAGTGTGGGTAGTTTGAGTTCAACGCAATCAATGCAGTTCAAGGTATTCTGACTTCTTCTAACCGGGCTATTGAGGCCGGTGTTTTATTAGACATCAAAGGCGTCTTTGTCTAAGTTCTTTTAAGATAATGATGTTGGCCACACTCTAACTAATCATATTTTTACTTATATATATATATAGAAACCGGATATTCTAGAACGTTTATCAAGAATTTTCCACACAGCAACTGACATTCAGATTTTTTATGTCTCTAATTAATACATTGCAATCTTTCAATTATACCTTATTAGCACTCAGCCACTCACCAGTGACAAAAATATTACTTTAAATGAGCCAACTAGCCACTACAAATTTTATGCTTCACTAGTTGTCTTCCTGGACAAGAGACAAACAAGCATCCCTCTAACACCAACGGTCATGATTCAATCTTAGATTTAATTAATTAAATTACAATGAAGATAATATGTTCTATTAGAAACAAGCCAATGCATACTTACAAGCAACGGGTTTAACATTAAATACTTATAGTGCATTTATCTAATTTCAAATCACGACATTAATAATTAATAACTTACTTAAAATTTTCAATATTTGATACGAGCACCCCATTTTTCTAATTCACTCGTTGCCAACATACACTTTCTAAAAAACTTTTTTCTAAATATTTTCTAGAAGGTAATGTTGTAACTTGAGTTTAAACTTTTTCAAGTTCAAACTCCCACCAATTAGGATAATATTTGTCAATTAGTCACTTGATTATGTGAAACAGTTTTTTTTTTTTTTTTTTTTTTCCAAGATATTCTACAGGATACATTTGCCATGAAGCGATATTGACTGAATTAGATAAGCCAAATTATCCACCCATTTTTCATATATAGCAGTATTGATAGCATATTTGTCCAATTAACTCATTTTTTATGATTTCTCCACACCCACAGACAACAAACACGTCTCGAAAATCAAGGTCTGCTAATTGTTGATAATGAAGTCACTTATATGTAAGACTATATGTGATAGTGTATTCTTGTCTTGCTATATAATTATCCTAAAATTATCATGTTAGTGCAATACTATACGTTGTCACTTGTCTCATATTGCGTTACCCTTGATTTTTTTTTTTTTATAATACCTTGATGATAATTGTGCACTATTCTTTAAATCCCAGTTTTATTAGGGGTAAAATATGTATCTAATGCCCAATATGTCTCCATCCAATCAAAAAGAGCCTCTCAGAATCTAAAATTTAAGTAGTTTCCATATTAGTTAGCATCCCATTTTTCTCTACTCATAGAAACAATTAGTCATAATATTTGGCATTGTCGCACAATTTTCTGACAATTTATCATGCAACAATACTAGTATGCACGTAGTCACGCACGTATCTTCTGACAAGTTACCATGCAACACGTGGTAATACACGTATCGTCTGGCAATTTATCATGCAACAATACTACATGTGGTCACTTACAAATCTTGTGTCTCTGATAGCGCTAATTAACAAGTGACGATTACACGATATTCTCTAAACCCTAATATTATTTTGCTCTAAAAAAAAGTCTCAAATGCTCATTTCTCATCCCAAATAACAAATCAACATTTCCTCTCATACTTAAAAATTTAATGACCTTCCATATTATAAAACAGCCATAAATATTCTTCACATTTATCATTTCTAACAAGGATGGAAAACTCCAAAATCTCACAGTATTAATTAGGAATATCACTTGGAGCTATATAAATAGCCCCCCTCTCCCCCTTAACCATTCCATATATTCTCCCATCACTCTCTTCTTTTCTCCTTTCATGCTCTAATTTTTTTCCCTTTCATTTTCCTTTTCCTTTTCCTTTTGCCCTAGCCATGACTAGAAAGAAGGTGAAACTCGCCTACATCACCAATGACTCGGCGAGGAAAGCCACGTTCAAGAAGAGAAAGAAAGGACTAATCAAGAAAATAACCGAGTTGAGCACCCTCTGCGATATCGACGCGTGCGTGATAATATACAGCCCTTATGATGCTCAACCGGAGGTTTATCCTTCGCCTTTGGGACTCCAACAAGTCCTGGCCAGATTTAAGAAGATGCCGGAGATGGAGCAGAGCAAGAAGATGGTGAACCAAGAGTGCTTTCTCCGACAGCGGATCGCCAAGGCCAACGAGCAGCTGAAGAAGCAAAGGAAGGATAACAGGGAGAAAGAGATCACCCGGCTGATGTTCCAAAGCCTGACGGGCGCGAAAGGTCTGCAAGGTCTGAGCATATTGGACCTCAACGATCTCGGCTGGTTGATTGAGCAAAACCTCAAGGAGATCAACAGGAAGATGGAGAGGATTGGCGGCAGGCAGATGCACGAGAGCAAGCCGCGCCCGGGGATACTGGCGATGCATGCGGCGGAGAAAAAGGCAAGGAGTGATGTAGAGGCGGAGATCAGGGCTCCTCCGGGGTTTGAGGCCAAGCCACAATGGTTCATGGATTTGATGAACCAGGCGCATGAGCAGCAGCAACATGTTGGATTTGGCGCTGGTGGGGAGGAGCTGATGCTGCCGCACTTTGGAGATCAGAATAATGGTCATTGGTCCAATGGGTTTTACCATTGAAAGATCTGGATTCTATTTTTCTGGCTGGCTATGTTTGATTTGCTTTTGTTTGTTTTGAAGTGAGACTTTTAGATCTCGTTGTGTTTGTCCTTCTTTCATTGATGTTTTAGCATGGTACTATGTACCACCTCATGTTTTGGAGGTCTTTTTCTTTTCTTTTTGATGTTGATCCCATTTGGATGCCATGTGTTTCTCTACTTATTATCTTGGAATTTTTGTTTCTTATCTATCTATCAATTTTGAGACATTAGTTTATGATCCGAATTATGTGTATTAATTTGGAAAATAACAGTTGTATACGAATTTGGGTTAGATTATGCAGTTTTTTATTTAGATACATGTTCCACAAATATATCTGAATAAAGCCGTTTTAGCATAAAAATATTAGCACGTTCGTTTATAAAAGAGGAATACATAAATCTCTTTGAGAACATCGATGTGGTATTAAAAAAAAAAGATATAGATTTAAAATACATATTTGGGCTAGATTATGCGGTTTTTGGTTTGGATACATGTTTGGCAATTTTATTTGAATAAAACCCTTTTTAGTATAAAATTATTAACATGTGCGAAAGAACACATAAGTCCCTTCGAGAATATCGATACAATATAGAGAAAAAATCAATACATAGATTTAAAATAAGTATTATATTTGACCAAGTATTAACTTCCTTTTAATATTTGAGGTTTTGAATTCAAATCTCTACCTTCAAGTTCAGGAGAAAAAAAAAAGTACTTTGATGCAACCTCTTCTTAGCTGTGTCATTATCAATTTTTACATTTAAATTTTATTATTCTACTTGAATCGAGAATTTCAAAGAGATAATAATAAGATCAGTTACAACATTTATTAAATCTTGCAGAAAAATAAAATGGCAATGGAAAATAGAAAGTGTATTGCATTTTGAGGGGTCAAATCTTCTAGCAACACAGAAGCCTTAAGTTTTGTTGAGAATAATCGATGCCTTGCTTTAATATTAGTATTATAATCATTTTGAATGCCTGGCATTATTTCATTGCATAGTAGGATAGACATCCTCACAAGAACTCCGCTGGAAATATCACTATTGATTGGTTAAGAGAGTGAGAAGGTCCTTAGAGAGCATAGATTGGTTAGAGTTCCAATACTATTTTTGGGTGTGTTGTCAGACTTCCGGCCGTAAAATTTAGTCTTTTGACTCGTCTCGTCGTGGACTTCTAGTTAGTGGTGGTGTACGGTGTGGTGGCTCTGGTTAGATAGATCTAAACTGGTTAAGAGTTTAGAAGCCGAATGGATGATCTCTTTTCTCATGAGAGTTTTCCCCTTGATGGCTGAGATCTCTTGCTAGTTGTCTTCCTCGATGATCCTTTGGCCGGACACCCTTCTCCGGAGGTTTCTACTGGTAGTGGTTGAAGGTTTTTATCTTTTTGTAACTTTTGTGTTTGTAATAAGGTTGGTGGTTTCCTTACTCGACCCTAATTTGATTTGTTTTTTGTTAAATTTAGATTTTTGGCTTAAAATTAAAAAAATATAAATCCAATATACTTAAAGAGAAAATATTGAAATAAAAGAATGCGGGCGTATATCAAAAATAAAAAATATGTATAGACCAAGAAATACTTTTCAGATTTATTCAATAGTTATCATGTTTTACAAGAAATTATACTTAAGTGAAAAAATCCGCTTTTAATTGTCACCTTAATTACAGTTCAGTTATGTCTCATACAGTCATACGTACTCTCCAAAAACGTTACAAGCCACTGAAGAAATTCATGAAATAATATGGATTCTGTCATACATGCAAAATAAGGAAAAACTTTAGGATTCTATCTGTCCGATAATGAATTGTTTTGGCAGTCCTAGATATTTTATTTATTTCTCAAAAGGAAAACGACAAAATGATTAGACAACTTGACACGTAGCACATATATATGGACAAAAACTAAGACATAACTATACTACCATAAGTGATTAGTCAAAAAAAAAAAAAAAAAACTAAACTAAACTAAACTACCATAATTTCATAATAATTCATTGTATTTATTATTTACCAACATTTGGCCAGATTCAGAACCTATTAAAAATTTAAGTAGTTATCTAGTTAGATAGTTTTCCCCAATATATATTTATTTTATTTTTCTCACTATTTATTAAAGTTAAGAATATCCAAAGGATATTCTGTGTAAATTAAAGGAAGATAAATAAGATTTTTTTTCATATTTAATTCCCTAATATTATAATCCCACATTAGTTGGAGATATTAGCATGATCCATTTAATAAAGTTAGAGTAATCATCCCCTAATAAGTCGATTTTGTTAAGTTGAGTTAGACCCAATATCTTTTGATTTATGTAAAATAGTATCAGAGCAGGCTCAATTTTGTAATGTTGGGTCCCTCAATAGCGACTTATTCGCAGCAGTTTGGTATGGTCCACACTGTGCGTGAGGGGGCGTATTAGAATCCCACATTGGTTCGAGATATTTGCATGATCTACTTAATAAGGTGAGGCCAATCATCCCCTAACAAGCCGGTTTTGTTAGGTTGAGTTAGGCCTAATATTCTTTAGCGGTTTGGCATAGTCCATACTGTGCATGAGGGGGCGTATTAAAATCTCATATTGATTGGAGATATTAGTATGATTCACTTAATAAGGTGAGAGCAATCCTTCCCTAACAAATTAATTTTTTTAGGTTGAGTTAAGCCTAATATCCTTTTATTTCTGTAAAACTTAAATATCAAGCGGAGCATTTATTGATATGAGAAAGCAAAAATCTTGTCTGTCGCACATATATGTCTTAATGTATAAGTAAATATATATATATATATATATATCGATGTATCTATATGTGATAAAAATTATAGTTAATGCCTTCTCATAAAAGACTAAAAACCTTCAGATTCAGATTACATATTGTGTGAAGATAAAGACAAATTAAATATTATGACGAGATGGTGAGTAATATGCATAACATTTTTTATGGGTAAGAAAAAGGATCAATATCTTTGTCAGAAGTCCCAGAAGTACTGAACAAAAATGTTCATTTTCAGTTTACTATGTAGCATCAAAGATTCTGGATGGCACTTTGCATATTAAAAACAAAAAAATAAAAAAAGGAAAAAGGGGAGATGTAAAATACGAATAAGTTTTACTTGGCTTAGAGTACTTGCGTCTATAAAGGTATATATATAAGAAAGGATTTTACATAGTGCAGGATTTTGAAGCCTCTTTTGGTGGGCTTGAATTCAAATGAAGAAATTTGAAGTCCACAAAATTCATTCAAAAAGATTCTCTAATATATAAAAGCAGTCAAAATAAGAAGATAAAGTTCATTTCGTTCTAGTATGCTAGATATTATATAGACACACATTATATATAATAATATATATCTATTGTTTTTTTTTTTTTTTTTGAAGCAATGCAAAGAGATTCAAATACTGAATCTTATATATAGATTGGAACACTACTTGCGCTTGGACTGTATGTGATAGTAAAACATTTCAGCGCACCAAGGATCATTCATGTAAAGAAAGGTCACAAAGTTTCCTAACCAAACACCACAAAAATAATATCGGCTTGACTTTGAATTCAAATGAGTGTAAAGCACTGGGGAATCAATAAAGATTCAGGAATCAATTGGAAGCTGCTTAGTAATTGTTTGTTTAAATTTTTACAAGTGGTGAAAACATAAACAAACAAGTATAGTACTTAATGTATTCAGTATTAATTAGAATTAGAAACCTTAATTCTATATTACAAAGAGCAATAATTAAGGAAAAATAAATCGAACAAAAATGAAAACACAAAATTTATAGAGGTTAGTCTGAATACGAGACTACGTCTACTCTCCTTTGTTGCAATAATTCACTATGACAAAAAAACAAGTCTATAGGAGAAAATCACACACCTTACACCTCTTTGTGTTTTTCTAACCTCTTTAATATTAATAACTGAAGGTCGCTCCATAGATTTCTTTGTGTAAAGCAACAATCGTCATGCAATACATAATGAGGCTCCACAACTTAACATTCAGTACCATGACACCAAGAAGTTAAACTACGTAATTCTTTACTCTAACATGCTAAAATTCCTTCTTCTTTAAGGTCGCTCCATAGATTTCTTTGTGTAAAGCAACAATCGTCATGCAATATATAATGAGGCTCCACAACTTAACATTCAGTACTATGACACCAAGAAGTTAAACTACGTAATTCTTTACTCTAACATGCTAAAATTCCTTCTTTTCTTTTTTTTTAATATTATGCCCACATAAATTAATAGCTTTTGAAGAAATGTTTGTGGCATAATTGTTAGAGAAATTAAAAAAACTTACCTAACAAAAGTACCCGTAGTCCACCTTTTTTTTTTTTGCATAAATAGTGTAGATTTTTATTTCACTTATTTTCATTAAGCACACAATTATTTTGATTTTATTTGAAATTAAACTTTCTTAAATGGCAAGAGAAATATCTTTCCTTGAATATAGATGCGAGTTCAACTAATATAGAATCTGAATTTGTTCCCTTTGAAGTACTTTTCTACATATAGAGAAACATTACATAAAACAAGGGGTTGCTGATTCAAAAATATGCCGGAAATTAAAGAATTGAAAACACACCCAAAAAAAAAAAAAATAGAAATAAAAATCTAAAGTTGAATGAGAATATTTTGTTTTTGTTTGATGGTTTTAATTTAATGAGGAACATTATACTAAGAATGAGAAGATATTTCAAACTGAAAAGACAAGTGAAGAGAAAAAGGGTGATGAGGAGAACCATTAAAAGTATTAAGTACAAAAAAAGATTAAGGGACATTAAAACTCGAGTTCCTAAAGTTGGCACTTGAAACCATTAATAGGGAGAGGGATCTTACAAAAGTGATACACTGTTTGCTTATGTAGATGGTCATAGTTCCATACAGCTATACAAAAGCACCCACATTAATCAATGTCTTTCAGGTGGCATGACTCTAGCACTTTTGATGTGTCTCACTTTGGTTCTTTTTTATTTTTTATTTTTTAT